TATCTTTGTAAATCCTCTGGGCCATGCAGTCTATCCTAGTGGGTGGATATGAAGTGACTCCGCAGCAGTGAGTAACAGTATACACAATGGAAAATGTATATAAGTGAAAGGTAGCCAGATTAGGGATAAAGTGGGTTGTCTCCACCGAATGACTAAACTAAATGAAGATTAGCTGTTCATGCCACAATAGAGGGGTTGCAAAGAAACCAGGCACACTAATTAGATACCCAACCTGGGCTCACACACAATGCTGGGCACCAGTGACATGACATCACACAGGTGTGCCTTATCTCAGCCAATAAAGTCGGCCAGTAGCCTCCACGATGGCTCCCTAGCCAGTGGGGATAGGAGGGGATAAAAGAAGGCTGTGGGTAGTGCCCACTCTTGGGCTGCTCACTCTCTTGGGATTTCCTGCTCTTGGCTTGGCAAGGTGGTTTGGCGCTCCTGTCCTGGTACTCCTTCTGCATGTTTTTCTGTGCTCCCTTGAAGTGGCTGGAGTAGCCATTCACAGTGGTGAACCTTCCACGGCCCTGCCCTGTGCCTTGTACATTTTCCAGAGATAACATGTACTTTTTGAGAATGTCATACCTGAAACTTCCCTTTTACTCATAAAAATTACTTGGATTTTCAAAAGTGCTTGTGCCGCGTGAATTCTTTCAGTGTTGAGAAGCAAGAACCACCTCGGAAACCTAACATATTCAGTGTAAAGAAGGACATAAAAATGAATATTTATTGCCCAGGTGAGGAAGGTGTTTTGGAAACGTTTGATCCAGGTTCCTTCAGAGGCGAGGTTGAGTGCTGCCAGGGAAAATGGGTGATGGCGCTCCTCTCCTAGGTGTCCGCTCAGTTGTTTTTTGAGAAAAGTCCTTGTGAGGAAGCCTCACCTCCACACTTAGCAAAGTCGTCCCTCCAGCCACATTCGGAAGACTCTTAGAGATCAGTTGAAAGCAGTGTTCTCCATCCGATTAGAGTTCCAGTGATGTTTCAACAGCTTTCACAGGGAGGAAGGACGGACCCCTGGAGGCACCATGGTTATGTGCTTGACTGCTAGCTGCAAGGTTGGAGGTTTGAATCCAGCCGGTGGCTTCTGGGGAGAAAGACTTGCATTTGTAAAGATTACAGCCTGGGAAACTCTCTTGGCAAGGCCTAGCCTGCCATGTGGGATTGCTGTGGGTTGAACATCAACTCAAGGGCAGTATAGATTCTTGTTTCACTTCCTTATTACTGAGCTAGCTACATTCTAGATGTACTTTCTATAAGTCTGTCCCATCAAATGAGGGACTTTTTCAAGAGAGACATCATGTCTTCCCCAAGATAGAAGATTCCTAAAAGTGGGCACTTTCTTTTCCCACCAAAGTCTGTATTGGTTTTGCAGCAGCAACAGGCCCTATCGTGAAGGTGTTTCCAGTGACTTTGGTGGGTGAAGGCGGTCAACATGGAACAGGATTGAAGGGTCAAGTGCTGCGCTTCCGCTGTAAAGTAGCCTATCAACCAAGGTCTTCATGTTCTGTTCCTACTCTGTCTGGGAAGGAAGGGGAGTTATGATGGAATTACGGTCGTCATTTACTTTCTGTGTGTCCGTATACTACTTGTTATTTTTCTGATAGCACTGAACACAAATGTTCACCATGTTGTAAGACTTAGTTGTTTTTATCTCCCTTTACAATGGGTAAGGATGTTTTTTCTTTTTTAGTGTGAGTTCGGGTGAAGGCTTACAGAGATCTTTTCTTTTTT